AGTGAAATAAATAGGACACACATATGCAAATACCAAAAAGTTTCTATAATGTGAGAAACTGAAAGTGTAAATAAAGACTAAAAGTTATAACTGATAATGTGAAATAGGAAGAAAAGGGGCAAAGGGGAAGGGGAAGTGGGAGGGGTAGGGGAAAGGTAAAAAGGCAGTGGAATTAATATGAGAAAATGAAAAAATGGAAACAAAGTCTTTGTAAATAGGGAGGGATGGCAGAGGAAGGGGGAAAAAATAAGAACCAAGATGGATTATGTAAAGTTGAAAATTTCCAATGATGAATGTCATTATATTGTATGCCTAAGATGTACCAATAAAATTTCCAAACAGAATTTTTAAAAAAATAAAATGAAAGGACTGAGAATGAAGCTCAGTAACAGAGCAATTACCTAGCTTGCATGAGCCCCTGAGTTCAATCCCCAGCACCGAAAAAAGAAGCTCATTCTATCTGCCTGTTCATAACAACAATCTTGGACTTTAAAATATATGCTAAGGATTGTGGCACAGGCCTCCTCGTCCTGCAATGGCAGAGCTTCTCACCAAAACTTGCACTCCACACAGGAGGGGCACTTGTCAACCAAACTTCCTGTCAGATTATGTTAATCACTTTCCCACACTGGGACAAAATACCTAACACCCACTACTTAAAAATGGAAAAGTTTATTTGGTTCCCAGTCTCCCGTATGTTCAGTCCATGGTAGACTGGCTCCAAGGCAGAAAGGGCATGGTGGAAGAAACCTGCTCAAATCAGTGCAGCAAGGAAGCAAATAGAGCAAGGAGGAGCCAGATAGGAGATATATCCTCCCAAGGAACCCCCAGTGATCCAACTCTTCCAAGCAGGCCCTACCTCAGCACAGACAACTAATGAACTCATCAATCCACTGATGAGTACAACACCCCAGGATCCAATCAGCTTCCCAAAGCCCTGCCTCTGAACACATGAGACTTCAGGAGAAAATACTATATCTAAATCATAACACAGGTCAGGGGCAGAAAAAAAGCCAAGAGCTCCCCCTTGGATCCCTCATCGTGTCTGAGATCAGTGGAGCTGTAGAGGCCAAGTGGCTTCTGAAAATTGTGACTAAAGAACCAAAAGTTAATAGGAGCAGTATAAGGATAAAAGAAATGAAGATACCTTTGAAACCTTCTGTTCGTGGAGCAGATTTTCTCAGGGTTGGAAATCATGCCAAACAGGATTACACGACTGTGGGGCCGGAGGGCAAGATTACTGGTGAGGCCTTCATGCAGTTCACTTTGCAGGAGTCAGCTGAGAGGGTTCTAGGGAAGAACTAGGAGAGGACAGTACCCAGGTACATACACTGTAGTGTTCAAGAGCAGCCAGGAGGAGGTTAGGTCATGCTCAGATCCTGAAGTTCATGTCCATGCAGCAGCCAGGCACAGCCTGGCAGCACAGCCTACAGGTACATTGGCATTATGAAGCAGGCGGGCCTGGAGAAGCTGAGGTTTGGTACCTACAACGCAAAATATGGGGACTCTGGTGGGCAGAGACCACCAAGCCGTGCATTCACAGGAGGGGGCTGCCCTACCAACCACCTAGAATGACATCTACAACTTCTCTCTGCCCAAACCTGTGAGAGTCCATAATGGGATTGGCCCTGACTGAAGAGTGACAGATATCACAGAAGTTGAGTTTCCCACCCACAAAGAAACTGACAGCTATGAGGAAAGACAGGGCCAACATGCAGCACAGATACATAGAACTTTTCCTGAATTCAACAACAGGGGCCAGCAACAGGACTTAGAACAGCCCAATGACGGTGGCGGGGAGCCACCCACGTGACCTACAGTGGCTGGAGAGCCAACTCGAGAGTGGCTGTTGGTCAGAATAGCATGGGTGGATGTGAATAGTTTTGTTAGGAACATCGGAGTTATTTCAATCAAAGTTTCACACGCAGCCACTAAGCAGTGATGGGCAGTTTATAACTCTAGAGAAAGCTCTGGGATGTATTATGACCACTAGTTTGTGAAATCTGGATTTAAAAATTATCTCTTTAGCGTTTTCTCACACAAATTTTTCTTCTAGAATATGATATTGAGTAAACCACTTATTGAGAAAACTATTTTCTGGGCCGGGGATTTAGCTCAATGGTTCTGCCGCCTGCCTTGAAAGCACAAGGTCCCGAGTTCGATCCCCAGTACCAAAAAAAAGAGAGAGAGAAAACCACTTTCTTCCACTTATCTCAATTAACATTTTGGTAGTACACTTCAGTGTGGGGTTACCTGAGTTGAAGTAGTCTGAGTATGTCAAATATGGATCCACACCAACCACAGTGACCACCTTGGAGAGAATGATTTTGAAAACTCCAACATGCTGGATCCCTAGTTCAAAGAGGACTATTTCTCATATTTGTTCATTCAAGATTATATTTTCACTTTACATCTTTTATGTTGTTTAAGCATTTCAGAAGTTAGTCTTAAGAACTGAGACACGACTGTAGAAGGCCTTGGTTTAAGCTCTCTTTGTAATATGATTGCCTCTTGGGTGTATTTTGCAAAGTGAAACTCATTAAAATGTTTTGTTAACTAACCTTTTTCTTAAAATACTTTTTTCACAATTACTATATATATGTAAATGTATGTATGTATACTTTAATCCCACAGATTTGTACTTATTCACACTCTTGACCTCAATTTATTCTGAGAAATTTCTCCTTTTCTTGGTCTTTTATTATCCTTTTAATATTATCCTTGCTTCTGAGTGCTATACGTTAAGATTTATTGGAAAATGAGGTGTCCAGAGGGTAATACTCAAGATGATGAATAAATTTTAATCTCAGGAGTTCTGTGGAAGTTGGAAGGAAACCCTTTGGGATTGAAATGATAGCTACCTTCCAATGCTATCACGTGAAATAAGCAGTATTTTAAAACTATCACCAAAAGGTCAGAAATAGGACCTATAGAAGGACTCCAAATGGGTGCAGATGCCTAATCAATAGTGTAAAGTGCATTTTTCCATTTATTGCCTAGACCTAAAACTGGGCATGGTGGTGCATGCCTATAACCCCCATACTACGGGAGGCTGGAGCCAGAAGATTACAAGTTCCAGCCCAGCCTGGGCAACTTAGTGGCTTTGTGACCTCCTGTCTCAAAATTTTAAAAATGAAAAAGGACTAGGGATATAGTTTAGGCAAAATTCTTGGTTCAATTCCCATACTGAAAAAAGAAGTGCTCTTTTGGATGCAAGGAACTTTTAATCCTTGGAGATATTTAAACAAAATCTGTACAGCCACATGACAAAAAAAGGTTGAAACTGGATGATCGTCAAGGTCCACCTAGTGCCTCTGTCACTCTATCAGCAACACTAAGGTGGGGGAGGGTGAAGTTTGGCCTTATTTTAAGGTCTCAGGTGACTAAGATGAGACCAGAGAGAAAGGCTGATGTTGATAAAGTGTGAGTGTGTATTTAGGTGACCACATTTCACAAAAGTGTTTTTTTTAAGTTGACCATGGTTTCAGTTATCTAAATTATAGCCCCCTGTTACTGTAGATTATCATTTAACTTTAATACACAGCACTAGCTTCTGATTTGTACAATATTGTTCTACTTAAATCTGTCATCGAGTTGGTGAAAGAGAGATTAATATTTTTAATACATTCCTCAAACAAAATTTGTCTGGAAAGACTTATATAGACCTTCATTTCCTTTAAAAGCCTACATTTCATACTCTGTAGATGAACAGATTAGGTGATATCTATTTAAACCGGGCATATTTAGCAATTAAAACATATTTGGTGATGAAGAGATTCTGGTTCCAAGTTTCTTTTCCAACATGTAGACAACTTAGCTCTAAAAGGGAAAAAAAGCAAAGAAGATATTGGTCACGCTGACATGACCCTAATGCTTAATTCAGTCTTTATATTCTACCTTTATCTCATCTCCTCTAGCACACAAGAATAGTACTAATTATTGCTCTTTAGATGTCTTAAAGCTCCAGTGCTCGGTTCTCACCATGGAGATGGTTTAAGCAACCTGATGAAGCAGAGCTGGTTATTGGCCCTGCCTCCGCCTTCCAACCTCCCCTATCCTTAGCGCTTTCACTCTTAGTGTTTTTAAAAGAAAGCATCCTCGTTTGTTACTACCTGTCCCTATCACTTTTACTGCTTACCCTCTTTAAGAGATAACACACCTTTAGAATATAGTGCAAAATTCTCTGAGGTTACATTCCTACAGTACCCTGTGAATTGTGAAAACCGCAAATTTCAGATGTGGTCAGAAAAATGCCTCTAAATGCCTATTTTTATAATTTAAACCCTAAATATGCTATGTTTCCCACAGTTATGTTATGTAATTTAATTTAATAAAATATTGTATTAATAAAGCCTCAGAAGGTGCAGGGCATTTTGGCGGCATCATAGAGATCTTAGGGCTTTAAGAGGAACAAAACCCACAACACCAGAGATAGCTACAGGCAGTACAGCAAGCTGTTACCACGCCGGAATGCTGGTACATCTGAGATAGGTTACAGGGCGGCAGCCAATCAGCAGCAAGGAGAACTGAATAACGCTCTGGGACTGGCTATTTGCAAGCCCCCCCGCAAAAAAAAAAATTGTGAAGGATATTTGCAGTTTCTGCAAAATAGAGGGGATTTCCGCAAACATTTATTAGTTAGGTTCTAAGGAAAAATCTGCCAATGGCCTGGAACCTTGACTTCGCCGAGGCATACTGTACACACGTATACACACACACACACACACACACACACACCCCTAATATCCCAATTCAATATTCCAAATTTCTTTCTTCCAGTAACCTTGTTTTTATTTCTCAGGTAAGAGGAAATGGGTGGAGAATAACAAACAGTTATGGGCAAAAAAAATTTGAATAGTGACCTGCCTTTTAACTTTGGATACAGTAATGTCTGGAACTTTTGAGGGTATTTGTCCTCTTTTAAAAAGTCTCCAAATGTCTTCAAAACTTGTATGACTACGATGTCATTTAAATATAATTAAGAGGGCCGGGGATTTAGCTCAGTGCTGCCTCTGCCTGCCTCGCAAGCACAAGGTCCCATGTTCAATCCCCGCCTGGTACATACATACATACATACATACATACATACAATTAAGAATATGAACTTGGGTTTTAAAGTAATGTAGCTATTATATTATATTACTTTCTATATTCAGATAATGCTAGTATTGTGAGAATATGAAAAAATTAGGAGCCATCATGCCGTGCTGTGACCATGTCACGGCATAAAGCCATTCTAGATACAAGCTGGTAATACCTACTGAAATTAAATAACCTATTACAAATAATAGAGATGTCTCATTCCTACCCCCATAGGCCCACAGTACACAGTGTGATGTCTACAAGTTATTCACCAGGACAACATTTGTGGTAGCAAGAAATTCGAGGGAACTTGAGTGTCCATCATTGATTATGAAAAGTAGAGTGGAATTATGTAATACTAATAGGTGGAAAGAACTGGAAATGAACAGATGTCATAAACATAGTTAAGTCAGAAAAGTGAAAAACAGAATGAAACCTATTGTCCAAAACCCACTTCCTGTATTAAAAACATATATATCTACCAATACCACTATATATATATTTTATAAATACTTGTACATATCTTCATATACTTAAACAAATATAAATATATAAATATGTTCTACCAGGTGTGAGAAGTAAACATAGAGGATGAAGGGAAAATAAAAAGCAAATAAAATGAGAACATTTCATATATTTCACAAGCTATCCTAACCATGAACTGAGAAGATGACTCGGTCATGTCCACTTGGGGTTCAATACATTTTTTAACATATTCTTATAATAAAACAAAAGTAACATGCACACCTTAAAAGTTTTTTAAACCATAAGTATGTAAAATCATCATTTCCTATAAGATTTTCATGGGCCAGTTGCATGAATTTTCTATTATTGGGTAAAAAGATTACCACAGTGTGGCTTAGCAGGGTCCTCTGTTCAGGGTATCATGGGGACTGCAGTCAAGATATCAAGAAGGCTGCTTGCTCATTTAGAGGATCCACTTCCAAGCTTATCCAGGTTCCCAGTGGAATTCATTTCCTGTGGCTCTGTGACTGAAGGCCCGCCTTTTTGCTGAAAACCAGCTCAGGTTTCAAAAATTACCCAGGTTTCTAGAGTCTGATCCCAGTTCTATACCACATGGATTCTTCAACATAACCACTTACTTCATCAGGCCTCCAAAGAGATCTCTAGCTCCATCCGGTTTGCTAACAAAGTTTACACGACATGACCTAATCCAATCTAATCATGAGTGTGACATACCATTACCTTTGTCTTAGCCTGTGGGTAAGAATTACGTCACAGGTCCCATCCACAATCAAACAGCAGTGGGTACACAGAGATGTGACTATCAAAAGGTGGGGGATGTAAGGGGCCACTTAGGGTCCGTCCAATCTACCAGGTAATCAATGTTCCAGACAGTGAGATTACAGCTACGAACAAAAGAAAAAAAATAAGTCTGCTTTGTAAAAAAAAAAAAAACAATTATATATATTGCATTTTATATTCTATCTTGGATAATTTTCAAATACTTACAGAACTAACATCCTTAATAATAGCTGCATCTTATATATAACCACTATCCTATTCATGGATTACAGGGGCATGTTTCCAGTTTTTCCACATAACAATACTGGAGGGGAGGAGAAAAGTATGTAAAAAGAATTTAAAAGTATCAGGTACATGTACCAACTCCCCACAATGCATGTAATCATCATGTACTGTAAACATGTATTAATCAAAATAAAAATTGAAAGCAAAAAGATGCATTATTAAAAAACAATGCTGCAATATAATACATGTATATATTTATTTATTACAGATGTGTCATTGAGTTCTTACACAGCCTTATATTTATCACCTTGAGTATGTTCAGATGAAGGTTGTAATCTGTCCTGGCCATGGCTATTCTGGCCTCTTGGCTCTGCTTTATTCCAGTTATGAGAGCCTGGCCAAGATACTTAAGTCCTTGTATGTAGTTGTCATTACCTACCACAGAGAGATAAGTGAATTCGTGTTCAAAAACGCACAGAAAATAGTGCCCAGGGCATGGAAGACAGTCTACATATTACTCTTCCCGTCTGGTGCACTTTATGATCTATTTCATGAAGTATCTCCCAAATAGGTTCCATTCCGGATTTTTCAAATTAGAAGAGAGGAACAGGGGCCCCTATAAAAGGGTGATAAAGAGAGAGGTAACTGCAGCAAGAATAGATAATAATATCCTTCTTTGCCCCCTGATAAACTAGGCCTCCCCATTTTCTCTGGCCTAATCCTGTTCAATTTGATTGTCTTAAAAACTGTCTATCCTTTCTTTTTCTTTATTAATTGAAGCACATACTCTTAATTCCATATAACATGTCTTTCAAAGAGACATTGATAAGGCAAATTAAACAGTATATTTACATAACTCAATTTAATGTGAATGTATTGATGAAGAGCACCATGTATCACATACATCTGTAAAACAATGTGTTAATCCACACAGTGTAAGATTTCACTGTACAACTTTCACTCTTGGTAGGAAGGATCTACTAGTGAAGTGATTATTTAAAGCAGGGGAAATACTTGACGTCATAGCTTCAAATCATACAATGAAGGCAGCCCCATTCTTTTAAAAACTACTCTGTCAGAAGAGGCTCGGGAATCTGAGCCAATGATAGAACCGACAGGGTGTGACTCCTAAAGATCCCTGCCTACAAAGTTCATAAAGCATGTTTCTTTAAGCAACAGCTTTTCCTTAGCTGTAAAATTAAGAGAAAGAAAAGTGGACATGAGGAACCCGAACCCAAAAGCGTTTTCTTTCAGATCTAAGGAAAATTCATGAAGAAAGGAGAATCACATTCATTGTGTACAGAATCTTCCTGTCTAACTGAGCAAAGAACAGTTTACCAAAAGAACCCACTTGTGGTTTGCCTTTGCGTCTACAGGCATAGGAATCTGTGCAGAGTGACACCTAGTGGTCTCTAGAACTCCGTTAGTAGCAAGAGTAATGGGGGGGGGAGCCTTTTTTCTTCCTACATATTCATATGCTATGAACAAACTGAGTTATTAATTGATCTTGATTCCAATACCACTATTTTCTGGCGATGTACCCACTCATTGTTAAATCATAGAGAAAATTAATACCTAATATTTGAGCAGCTCATAGAATGTGGAAAAGAGCAAGGATCCTGATGTATAAAAGAAGTGATTTTATTCAAATTTACTGTCTGAAAGACAGTAGTAAATGAAGGCACGTTATACAACCCAATAGATTTCAAAGAACTGATAGCTTTTGTAGATGGAGTCTTCTGGATTCATGTCAGAGCTCATTCCCACAAATCTTCACTCTGCCTTAACACCTCCTAGGGTGGACCTGTCCAGTTGCTCATCTCTATTCTTGGTTGGACTGGGAAAGTTAGAGTGTTGAGATATTTATAATACACCAAGTAAATCTTAACCCATCCTTATGACCTACTCCTAGCTAGGAAGTGTTTAAAACTGTTTTTTAAGAGAAGTGTTTGCACCCCCTTCTACAAATTAATTATGTTTTAAAGTGGAGTTCAGAAAATTATTAATTTGGCTTCCTAAGGTCTGAGTAGGCAAAAACTTCTTCTTATGCAATATGAAGTATGAAAATGGAGGGGTAGCCTCTAGAATGCACCAAATTTAAATCTTCTTGTAAATACCACCTAGAGGATCACAAAAATTGGATGTAATAAGCATGACAGTCTGGCCACCAAAACAAGTAATGAAAGTAGATACTGAGAAATAACTGGAGGAAAACACTTGGTGGGAGAATTTAAAGTAATTCACATTCTAATGAAATGTGGTTATAGTTTTTATAAAATATTTGCAATCTGATAGTACTGTGGTGGCCATGATTAGAGACTAATGTTTTAAGACGTTGAATATGGTTCTTCAATAACTGGAGTAAACCCAAAACTACTTCTTGAAGAGAATTTTGGCCCAGCCAGGGATACCACCTCTTTGCACCATTTTGCCCAGAGTTCCAGGGAAAGTATCAGTGGGAAGTGGATTTTTATTCTAAGTATGTATCTTTCTAAGGTTCTTTAATTTTCTTTAGAGAGATTAAGCCTATCCCCAGTTCTTCAGAGTGGAAGAATAATCAGTTCTCTAATAATATGCACAGAAGTTTCTACCTGGTGTTTTTCACATCATCAGATGAGTAATTGAACTGAAAGTCATTCAATATCCACCAAAAGTTGAATTGAGGAAAACAATAGTTAAAGAAAATCTTTGGAAGACCTATGGCCACTTTTTGAATCAAGAAG